TACCCTTGAAATTTACTTTAGTATGTATGCTTGGATCACCGGGCTTTATAGACTTACTGGAACGTCGATAAACTGGAAAGAAAGAAAACGTGGGTCAGTCGTGTATTACTTCATGTTCTGTAGACCTACTTCAAATTGAACGTTCTCCTCATCCGGTAATGACTTGAAGTGAACGTGTATTACAGGCCAGGAATTGCTAGCTTGCATCTCGTTGAAGAGTATGCCAAATCTCACGCAAAGCCGATAGATGTCATTGATATCCGCTAGTAAACTCCCGATTTCGTCCACACCCGAAGCGGTTGACTTTAGGACCCATCCGCCTTCATATAGCTTCGTGTTTTCCTGGACATATCGAGGTAGATTTAACCATATCTCTTTCCACTCCTCCAGTTTGGCGGCAGGGCCGTTTTCTTTTGGCGGACCTTGGGTATCTGTACACTTAGCCAGCTTGGATGGGCTTATACCGGCTTCACGAATCGCGGAAAGTGCTTTGTTGAATGGTTCCGGGTTGCAGGTCAAGACCGGCGTCATTCTACCTCGCTCATGACGAATACGACAAGGCCATGCGGTAGCGGCTTGAGCTAGTAAAGGATAAGATTTATCGTAACTTCAGGAACAATCCACATACTAGCAGCAGGTAGAATCGCCTGACCGATGATTGAATTGATGAATGTACTTTTGCTGCAAATGAATATCAGTATGGATCTCAAACCAAAGGTTTCACAATAGGTACCCAGCCTTGACCACCCCAACTACGGCCACTCTTAATGACGGGTTTGTGAGACGCGTTACCGAACGTCGAAGCGCAGCCTCAAGATTCCTGAAAGCTGGCTCATTGTCTTGGCTTTGAACTTTTCTGGCCTGTTCCAATAGGCTAGTCCAAAAGAGGGTAGCTAATTGCCCTTGCTTTTGGATCATAAACTCGGCAGTTGCGTTTGGCGAGCAATCGGATAACCAACGGTTACCCTCCGGAGTCATAGCGAGAGCCAAGTGATTGACTCCATCAGAAGTGTTAGCTGAAGCAATTTGATCGGCGTCTTGCTCATTTTTGATCAAGGATGGCTCGAATTGAGGGCCGCCAGAGCTGAATGGGAGTACGTTGTGAAGCTTGACGAGGGATTGTACCACCGAAGTCGACTGAGAGGAACGACAGTATTTATGTATCATCTCATCGACATCTTCATACTTGCTTCCAAGAGCAGAGGCATATGCAGTGAGTTTGAAGGCACCTGCCAGGTCATGGCGCGCTTGACGAGCTTGATCCCGACAACTGGATAAAGATGTGAATTTCATTTGGGATCCCTTCAAAAAGGATCCGGCATCATGAGTACTCGCGAGTAAAGACTGAACTCGAGAGTCCTTCTTCACATCTCCGGCTGACAGGAGGAACGCAGTGATTGCAGTAATGGACCCAGCAGTATCATTCGCACTATTCGTGAACTGTTTTAGGAGATTTTTATGTGTAGTTGCGTCAAGGGATGATTGAGAAACGTTCGAGAGGGAATGGTTGAGGATGACAAGGTACGTGTTGACATCTTCGGCTATGTCAACTATCTCTCGACCAAGTTCGGTGAACAATTGCGCCTTGAGTAGCGACAACGGAAGTAACATTAATGAAATTGCACGTT